AATAATATATCGTGTTTTTGATTTTCGGCTTTTCCTTTGAAATTATGACATGTGCCTAAGCTGGACAAACTTGCATCATGTAATTGCCACAGACCGTTTATAAATTGCATCAGATGTACAGTGTATAATTTATATCTATGATGACAATACGTCATTGACTGTATGTTCGGTGGCTCTGAGCGCTCAGGTAAATACAGTTACCTTTTGCAAATACACACAACACAAATAAATACAATGACAAGCTTTTAGTTTGTTGCACAAAAATATCCAACAGACACAAAACAAAATAAATGAACCTGAATGGGACATGCTTATTGTTTGATTTGTGACTTTGTTGAAGTTGCTGAATGTGGTTTTTAGAAAATGAGATAAAGTGTATTTAACCGAACCAGGTTCATTGTTGCGTCCCCTCAAAACACTTGTGATGTCTGTGTTACTGCAGCAAGTTCTAGATCTAGTAGGTTGTTTAGTGTGTATCTGCAGTGCCTTTGTCTTTTTGGTTGTGAGTTTTTGCAGCACATCTGTTGTCAAATATATAGAGATTTTCTCATCATTTGCATGTGTTTTTGAGCTCTCTGGGCCTCCATAGATAGGTATGATCTCATCGAGTAAAGTCAAAATCACAGGATTTTATTTCCTTTCATTTCGCACAAAATAAAGAAAAAGAGTCAAAGAAGAAGAGAACTGGTAGTGACTTTGACAAAGGTTAGCACATAAAGAGAGGAGAGTCGGGGGTGCAGGCAGAAAGAGTGCATTCCTGGTAGTGAAGGCATACAGCAGGGGTGAGTGTGAGTCAGCTCCTCTTAACTGTAATTTTGTGCAGTTTGTGTTGCGATGGAGATTTTCTTAGACTGTGATAAAGGAGATGCGTGCACATGTAACTTGAAGTGACACAAAGGATTCTTACCTCTCCCATTCAACACATCCACATCTGTCTGCAGCTCTCTTCTCTTTCAGCTCCTCTCCTCTGTCCACTATCGGCACGCCTGTGACCTCTCTGCCTCCCAGTAATTCTGTCCTCTCATGCAGGGGTAATAAAATGCGGCCGAGATAATGAAATACAAAAAAAGAGTGGTAGACTATTGGAGTAGAATAATGCAAAGGGGAAGTAAGAGAAATTGGAGAGATATTTAATAGAAACTATATTACAAGTTTTTTGCTTTTGTAATCCAGGCTGAGTGCAGTTGTTGTGTATTAAAGACAAGGTACATGTCAGTAAATTGTCAAGGAGACGGGAGCAGATTTGGATAGAGGGTGGAGAGAGTAGGAAAGAGCTCTGGAACGTTGATGGAGAGGGAGGGAGATATTAGGAGAAACAAGACAGGGAAACAAAAGGCCCCAGCAGTGGTGGAGCAAAGTGGAGGCAAGAGGGGGAGAAAAGGAAAGGGGAGGGTGAGATGGAGAGAGATGTGGAGAGGGAGGAGGAGGAGGAGGCACTCATGTAATTAAAGTGGTCCAGTTGAAAGGCTGCACCTTTGCCCTCCCCCTCTATTTCCTCTCTGTCCTCCAGTGACAGGTTTATGAGTTTATGAATAAGTACAGATGCATTGTTACATGTCCCGACGCCACTGGGAGAATGGCACAGAGAGGTTATTTGTGTGGAACCCAAGTGCGTCTATGTGCTGATCTTTTTGTGAACACCCAGAAATGTTCCCAAAAGTTTCCTGAGGGGGGCAGTGTGTCTCTCCTTAAGATGTTGTTAAATAATTATAAAAACTTAACTGCTTCAATGGACTAAAATGTCCAAATGTAAATAAATGATTATTTTTTTTAATTCACAGATTGAAACGTACTGTATTGAGAGTCTTCCTTCTGGTTTCCACACAATTGACTACTCAGTGTTAAGTTAATAAACTCTGTGTATTGTTTTTCCCATTAGCTACTGCAGACATTTATTTATACTTGGGTATGTATACACCCATTACCCATGAGCTTGTTTTATGAACCATTTATCCATAACTTAAGACACATCCATCCATTCAATATTTATCGCTTATCCTCTGTGGGTCATTAGCCGAGACAAGCAACCATCCAACCTTACATTCACACCTACGGATAATTTAGCCTCCAACTAGAATAGCAGCCAGTAGAGCATATACCTCTGCCAAGGCCCAACCTACCTCGAATGAATCCACATTAAAATTCACTAGATCCAGATTTATTTGATACCAAATTGCACAAACTCATAAATAACAGTCCCCTTAACATGCATGACTTTTCTCATCAACATCCATTAATTATTCTCTGAGAAATTTGCTGTTTAGACGTCCCTGCCTGTTTGTTAGTAGTACGCTGTGGGGAACAAAAGCCCCCGGATAAAAATCGCTGTTCAACTGCAGCTTGATGACAAACCATGCAGCAGGTCTTTACTTTCAGTTTTTGTCATGTCACACTAGAATTGGACAAAATCGAATGAGTTGTAGAAGAAAAGCTTCCTACACTTTGAGCTTTGTTTCTCTAAGGTCAGCGGTGTCCAAGCAACGTTGCCATTGGTTCACAGTGCAGATGGATATACTTGATCTTTTCATGTCAAGTGTGACAAGACAGGAAAAGCCTCCAGTGATCTTTGTTGTTCAACTTTGATCCTGACAGTTCAATTGAGCAAATTCAGAACAAAGTAACCATGTCAGAGATGCGAGTGGGACCGGGCATGTTTGAGTTCATGTGGGGTAGAGCGAAAAGATTTGTGTATCAGTAAAATTTTGAAAGAAATGTGTATCACAAACATATAGGATTTAAAATGGAAGGATTGCGTCAGAGAAACAAGTGTGTGGGTTTTTCCCTTTTTTCCTCTGATGTTCCATAAACACATCTGATTCTGGCTCATCCGTACAGGACTTTGATGCATGAATCCATTCTTCACAAAGATGAAAGTTACTGTTAAAAAAAAGAACCCTAGGATTTTCAGATAGAAACTAATAGATCTATCTATCTCTGTGTGTGTGTGTGTGTGTGTGTGTGTGTGTGTGTGTGTGTGTGTGTGTGTGGGGGGGGCCATAAGGTGTTGGTATTGTTATTGAACTCCCTTCACCTTTTGTTGCATTTAATGGTCACACCTTTCTTTGTAGCACATCGACAACTAACAGCACAAAATTGGCTGTAACGCAGAATGTTGTGCTCAATCACACACACTGACTGGTGATGGCTTACACACACACACACACACACACAGGACCTCCTTCCTCTGACAGAGCTCGTTTCAGTCTCTTTCTCTTTTTTCTCTCCCTGTCTTTTCATCTCCTGTGTGATTTGAAATAGCCTTTCAGGCCTCTATTGCTAATATACCAAGTAGACTCCCATTGTTAATGTTACAGCATTAGTTCCTTTTGTGTGTGCTACTCTTCTGCTCCCAGAAGACTGCACTGAAACATGATAGGCAGTCTAGGGTGGCAGTGGTGAGATCTCTTTATTGGCGCTTTTTTTTCCACTAGGTAATTATGGAAATAATTCCTCTTTGTTTCGGCCTTTCTCTGCTGACGGTCCAGTTCATAATTAATTGGTAGCGTGAAGGACCGGCCAATTTTGAATCACAAGGGAGGGGTCGAGGGGGGCTTGTTTTATTGGCTGGTCTGGGGCAGCGGGCGGGAGCATCTGAAGTAGATTAGATTTAATTAAGGCATGGGGCCTCCTGACTACACATTGGGACATAATTAGGCCGTATGCCAGGCTGGTTGTTGTTGGGAATTGAACGGTATGTACACACACAACTGCAGCTGAATACTCCCATAGGCCTTCAAGGTCAGGTAGACAGGGAAAACATGTAGCATTGGGTCTGGCAGAGACAGAGAACAAGCTGAAAAAAACTCTTCTGATGATGAATTGCTAGTTTGTTCACACAAATAGTCAGACACATCTGAGCTGTTAAAGTCTCTATAGTCACCAATTATCTTTGTTCTTACGGAAAATTTGTGACATTTTGGGAGGTACACTTAAACAAGACTTGTGTTTATGAAACTACGGCAGCTGGTTAGCTTAGCTTAGCATAAAGACTGAAAACAGAACATGGACTGGATATAAAGATGTCTCCACATTCTCCCACTAGAAATGAAGCCAAAATATCCCAGATACAAACTCTACCATCCTGCCGATACATGCACACAACCAATCGCGAGTCTTTATTCGCTGTTAACCATGAGGTTCCACCCAGTTTAAAATAGATGATTAAAACCAAACCTATAGGTAAATTAACGCTTGAACATATATCAATGTGCGGACATCCGGAATAATAAGCTGCAGTGCTGTCTGGTTTTACAGTAGTCCCCTTCCTGATTTCAGCCTGGCCAGTTGGCTGCTGTGAGTTTCCTACTGCTGGCCATGGCTCCCATCGTGAACATTCCCTGGACTACTAAGTAGTTTGCACTCTCCCCCTTTCCCTGCGACAAGCACGGTAATCAGTGACGGCCCCTGGTGTTCCTCTGAATTCTCTCATCATCATGCTCAACACCAAGCATATCAAGTTGCTTTTTTATCTAAAGGAGCTGTAAGCTGTTTTGCCCTCACAAAGCATTTTTTCGCCTCTCTGTTCTTCCTCTTTCTTCACATTAAAAGAGCGGGGTCCGTGATTTTAAAGTGAGCCCCTGCTTTTCAAAAGTAGCCTCTGCACTGTACACGATGCTCCATTTGTTCTCCTTATCTCTGGGAGCTCTTTGGGAGAGTCTGACTGCTGTCATGCTTATTATGTTGCACTCTCATTTCCTAGAGAGGCTGCCTCTATTGAATCATATAGAACGCATTTTAAAATGAACCGGAAAACAATTAACTGCTTGATATTCACAGCCATCCACTTCAATTCCTCTCCCTATTCCCCTGGCTCTGCAACTCCACAACTCATCCTCCCGTTTACTCAACCTCCTATTCCCCTAAATTGTTTACCACCTCTACATTCGTCTTTCCCTCAGTCCCCCCTGTCTCCCACACCATCAGTCACCATCTCTTTTCCCCTACCTCCTACATCATCCATCATTAATTTACTCTTTATTTCTTTCCTCTCTTTCTTGAAGAAGCCCCTGGCCAGGACTTCGTGACACTAGACTACCGTCTGCGCTACTACCCCAGCATCACTTACGCCGTCATCGGCAGCGCCGTCATCTTCGTCCTGGTGGTGGCTTTGCTGGCCTTGGTGCTCCACCACCAGAGGAAGCGTAGCGTCCTGCTGCCCAGAGGTGTGAGAGGAAGCTCACATCATCACCACCACCACCAGCCCCTTCTGCTGTCCCGTCTGGTCATCTTGGACCGAGGCCACATCCATCCTGGAGGTCCTGGTCTCTCCCCCGGCTCACCAACCACAGCAAGCCAGTGCAGCTCAACTACACAAGCCCTGCAGCTGCTTTCAGGGACTCTGTATCCCTCCGGACTCTCCATGGACTCACCTCCATCATACTCTCAAGCTGTTCTGGATGTCAGGTGAAAGGAGTAATGATGCTAACACTTGTATGGAGATTTACCTTATAATATTTGTCTGTAGCCATAAAGTACAATTTCCACTGTAAGAAAGTGAAAACCAAAAACAGAAACAGTGGGGTTGACAGGCAAATATTAGCTAATTAGTCATAATATAACAGAATAAAAGTATGATTTAATTTACCTTTATTAGCTTTGTCCCATAACGTCAACTTTCATTCAATAACCAAATATGTTCCGATGCTATTAGAAATAGTATAATAAAAAACAGAATGTCGCTGTTAAAAAGCTAATCAAAAATTACTAAACATTACACAAACATTGTGTATTTGTTAAAATACAAAAATATTCCCATTTCAAACATTTCTTGGCTTTTGTCATCTTCAAAACTGCTTAAAATAAGTTGTTAAGTGAATCATGATATCTTAGAAAGGGTGAATAATGAATGAAATCAGGTAAAATGATTGATGGGTTATCTTAATTAAGGATGGGCTCTTAAATAATCAATCATTTTCTCAGGTGGAGTACATCTTTGCTTACTGATGTTGAAAAATGTCATTGTACAGTTTTTATGTAACACCTCTTAAACATCATATTTGAATCATTCTCTCCTCTGCTTGTCCTTAGTCGGCCTCCATGGTTTGATCTCCCTCCTCCTCCGTACCTCCCTGATAGGGAACTTCCATCAGCAGACGAGCTGCCACAGTACGAGGCCCCACGAGACCCTTTGAGCCACCAACCAGCGCGTCCCACTGCACCCTCCACACCTCGAACTGTGGCCTCGGGCTCACAGCCGAGCTCGAGCTCCAGAGAAGAGTCGGAGCAGCTGTAGCCCCCCCTTTAGTGAACTGATAATATTTGGGACTTCGAGACTGCAGGACTGAAGGACCAGGCTGCAGGGTCACTCGAGGCCAGGACAGGCCACAACAAAGACCTGCTGAGGATCATTCAACAGGGACCGAGAGACTAAACAGCATCGTTAACTCGCCTCACACTCGTCGGCTGAGTGAAGCACTGGACTGAGATAAGCCTCTCCTGTTGACTGATCCTGTGTGTTGGCTCACCCTGCTGGGGTCGTGGCCGCACTGCACCTCAATCAGTTACAGATTCAGTTATTTGTCATCAGTTCAGTGCAGGTGAATTGTGCTCGCCTTGAAGAACTGTGTACAATACATAGTAAATGGAGCAAATTTCCAGTCATTAACACAACATATATAATGCGAGCAAAGAGTGGCAGCACCTGAAATGATCATAATGTAACAGTATAATCCGGTTAGAGTGGTGTTATTCCTCTCAGTGTTAGCACTTGCAGAGCTGAATGGAAATCATGCAGCATTTTTGAAATACTCTTTACGCTACTTTACATTTCACATCTACAATATTTTCCATTGTTAGGTTTATAAGAGATTTTCGATTGTGTCCAAATTGTAAAATAGCTGAATACTAGATAACAAGACGAGGTCAAAACTGGACTGTATGTGGTCAGTGTGAAAAATTGGAGAAGTAGCTGAAAACTGTTGTGGAACCATAAAACACCAATTTGCATTAATCTGTATTTGCATTTTGTGTATATTGTCAGCTGTTTTCAGCCCTTCATCTGTTTGAACATCAGCTTGATCGGATATTACAAAGACTTTGTACCGTGGAGCTGCCAGAGCTAAGTCTGTATTATGCCCAGTTCAACTGATCAGACATTCGTGCTCATCTATACGGCTCATCCAGGTAGAAAAGATCAAAGTTTTGTGATAAATCTTTGCTGTTTTGCGTCACTTTACTTTGATGAATTACCGTTGTTGGCTCACTGTAACTGAAGTTGATTTAAGTTTTCAGATTTATCCGAATTCAAGATGGAACAATGATGACATTACTATTAAGACTTTATTGTGATACACAATAGCAGCCCAGTCAGCTACTCCACATTTTTACTTCATTGATGAACTGATAAATTTGGCCTGTAAAAACTGTTTTATATATTTTTTGTGGTACTCCAAATAAGAGATATTTCTTTTAGATCAGTGTTTTTTGTGTTTATTTTTTTTCACAATATTACTTGTTGTCATTTGGTTAAATTCCAGCAAAAAAGTCAAAAGGACCATTTAGTTTTGATT